AGCCGGTTTGCAATCCATTAATCCAGTTTCAACTAAAAGATCAAGAATATACTTCTTTTGACAAATAAAGATCCCCTCTTGAGATTTGAGAACTTCAATGCCAAGGAAAAAGTTAAGTTCTCCAAGATCCTTCATGTCGAATTCCTGGAATAGCTTGCCTTTTAATGTAGCCATCTCTTCTATGTCACTACCAGTAATTATCATGTCATCCACATAGATAATCAAACATGTTATGAGCTTGCCTCGTCTTTTTAGAAACAGGGTATGATCAGAGTTGCTTTGACGATATCCATATTTCTTCATGGCTATCGTGAATCTGCCAAACCATGCACGTGGAGATTGTTTTAGACCATACAAAGCTTTTCTCAATCTACAACCTTCGCCTTTTTTGAAATCTGATGAGAACCCAGGTGGTGCTTCCATGTAAACCTCATCTTTTAGTTCTCCATGGAGAAAAGCATTCTTCACATCAAACTGATATAAGGGCCAATCTAGATTAGCTGCTACAGAGAATAATACTCGAATAGTATCAATTTTGGCTACCGGTGAGAAAGTCTCAGAGTAGTCAATACCATAAGTTTGAGTATATCCTTTAGCTACTAATCTAGCCTTATATCTCTCGATTGTACCATCTGCCTTGTGTTTGACTGTAAATACCCATCGGCATCCGACAGGTTTCTTTCCTGGGCAGAGTTGACATTTCTCCCATGTGTTGTTTTTCTCTAGCGCCTTCATCTCCTCCTCCATTGCTTTTCTCCATTCTGGTATTTGTATGGCTTCGTCTACTGTTCTAGGAACTTCATGGGTGGATGTGTGAAACGCCTGTGACACACTCCCCCTGACCAGATCAGCAATAGGATATCTTGAATTCCGAGGGATGTATTCTGGTTCATATCTGACTGGAGGAATTCCCTGATTCTTCCGTGGTGGGAGAAAATATCTGTTTGATATATTCAATTCTTCCACGCTATCATTAGATTTATCAATGCAATCATCAGGAGTGGGAGAAATACTAACCTCAGGAGTCTTTTCCAGACGGAGTAGGATCAGACATGAGTTCTGAGTTGTTGGACTGTTCAATGTTCTCAAAAATTGATCCCACAGAGCGACTTACTTCCTCGGTTGGGACAGTTTCAGGTGGCAAGACCGAGCTGTGTACTGGTGGCAAGACCGGGCTGTGTAACCACTCTAGAGAGTCATTTGTAACTTTCTCCCCCTGACTACTAGAGTGGTTATGGAAATAGTACTCAGTTTCCAAAAAATTACAATCCATTGTCGTGTACATCCGACGAGAAATAGGATCATAACATCTGTATCCCCTTTTGTGAACCCCATACCCAACAAAGACACATCGGACAGCACAAGGATCAAATTTTGTCCGTTTGATTTTTGGAATATGTACATATACAGTGCAGCCAAACACACGAGGAGTGAGAGTCAAGGAGGTAGGAACAGTGGAAAATTTTGCAAGTGTATC